TACTCTGGGCCTTGGGCCTTGGGCCTCTTGGGCCACGGATTTGCCTGATGATCGGATTATGACAGCCAACGACACAGCACAAGCAAGAGTTTTCTTTTGGCTGACGATGCCAACAGATGCAACGGATGCCCCGTCCCGATCGCCACTTGTGATTCGGATTATGAGAAAATTCATTAGATAATTTCAGGCCGTGTCGCATCTTGATGGAGAGCTTGTCAGGCGCACTGCCGCACACTCTCCCATCGCACTTATCTGCGGCTAAGTATGCCAATTAGTTAATATTAGCAGCGATTAAAATCGGCTGGGAGCCCGTCGCCTCGTCTCGCTAATGTCAGGAAGTCGCCTGACGTAAGTCGCCGATATTGGATGATGGAGTCGCCTCCAATCGCTGGTAAGCTCATTAAGTGTGCAACACTGTTGTCAGTACTTCCGTTCCTGCGCCGTTCAGAGGCGATTCCGGCTGATGAAGCTGGGAAGACTTTTTGTTCTGCTCCAAGCCGCCACTCGATCGGGTTTTCTTCCTAGCACCTAGTCCACTCGCTTACTACGGTAACTTCTGTCGGCAATGTCCATAGAATTGGGAGCGTAATCCAAACAAGATAGAATCAAAGAGGATTGAACGACATACCCTGGTGCATTAGTATGTTTATAGAAAAATTATAAGTGCCATATTGGAATATTTTGGATAAACTCGAATTAGGAAAGGATACTATCCTGTACAGAAATGCTAAGAAGAACAATTAAAGCCACAATAGATTGAAAAGATTGAATTTACATTTACGCGTAAAGACATTAATACTATTCCCAAATTAAAACAAGAGAATGCCATAGTCGAGGTCCCCGACTATCAGATACCCGTTACTCAGCTAGTGGAAGTGCGAACGAGAAATTTCAGCATTGTCTGGAATATCGGTAGAAATTGGGGAAAAAATAATAAAATTACAATTTTTATAAAAGTGAGGGCAAGAGAGTTTTGTGCGGTTTGTGGGCGTTACAGTGAGCGTTACAGTTTGCAAATCTGTAGAAATTTACAAGATGTATTCAAAAACGAAAAAATATCACATTTTTCAAAATTGTGAGCGTGACAGTTTTGGCACTTTGTGGGCGTAGAAGTGACAACATTTAGAAGAAAACATCCGCTGCGTCTATTTCTCTGGAAGCTGCATGCTTCCTAAGCAAAAAAAGATATACTTTATGTGGTCGGAAAGATTTCCTTCTGCCTGTTACATACTTTTCAACGAATCCAGTATACCCTTTTACTCTACGTGTAACGGGTATAAAAAGCAAATGCTGGAAGTAATACTACTTAATGGTACCTCGATTCGCAAATATTTTAATGGATATTAATACTTTCTTGTGTTAATACATTAACATCATATAGAAACAGCGCTGCTCTAGTCTGAAAATCTCTAAGTCCATGAAATTCACAAACTTTTGATAAGTATGGCATTTAGATCGTGAAATTGGAGTTTAATGATAATTAAGCACTTGTCAGTGAAACTAGGCTACCTATAATTACAAAAACATTATTTTTTTCGCTTTTTCACAAGTAAAATGATTTGAAGGCTTAAATAAATTAAATAGCTGAGCCAGCAGTCAGCAACAAAATAATGGATCAGACATAAAAATAAGAAAATAAATACAAAAACATTTATTAAAAAGGACCAAGCCCGTACAGAATTTTATCTGAACAACATTTTATATTTTGAGGACGGAACTTTGAGAATTTTAACAAGTTCTATAGCGGAATCAATCACTTTGTCATCCTCAGCTTCGGCAGCGAAGTACATTGCGTTATGATTTATTATTTTAAAGTTAAGTCGCAGAATGGTCCCACTGTCGTATCATTAAATTTGGAATCTTTAAGTTTGTAGACTAACTGTGGATGCAAAAACTAGGATATGTACCTTACTGCAAAATTTCATTTAGTTTCTATCAAGGAATTTCGTCATTAGGTGTTTACGAGGGATATCTGTTTGAACAGTCACTCCAGCTAAGCATTAGATCAGTGCTCTGAATGTTTTTAATTTTTACTTAGTGATTTTAAATAATTAATTTGAATTAATGAATTTTAATCTACATCCCGGTTTGCAAGTTCGTACATTCATAATTTGTAAGCACTGGATAATCACGTGTGCATTTAATATTTCACCTATTTCACTACAAAAATATTAAAGTATAAATACAATAAATATTTTTAATATTTAATATTTTAATATATAAATTATAAATTATAAATAGTTATATAACAAAGTTTGGAAGGTGGGGTAAGGACCTGTCCGGTAAGGAGCTCAAACCGAAAATCTATTTATTTCATATCGCCTGACAGATGGTTTTTTTGTAGTCCAAAATTTTAATTAGGAAATATTTGACTAGAAGAGTATTTACAGGACTTTTGTCACCTATTTCTACGCTCTAAAATATATGCATCTATTTCATATATAGCTGGGTCGATCGGTATTATTATTGTGATCTATTCTGGGAGTCTCTGAATTTTTATTTAATTTATCGTAGTTTTTAGGAACGCCTTCGCACTTGTACGAGTATACTAGAAAATATTTCCGAAGTGTATCAAATCAACTTCAAAGACGAATGCTAGGCAAGCAACGGACTCAAATAAAGATGCAAATGAATCCGAGCTGGACTGCAATAAAAAACCCTCACACCGAATGACTGACTCGAATGCCAACACGTAGACAAACAATGCAGCCAAAGGATGTGGGAGAGTGACTGGACTGCGGAGTGCGGACTTCAGAGGACTTCAGAGTCCTGCGATCAAGGCAGACAAGTGGAGTCCATTAAAACACTAACGTCACGTCAGGCGCCGAGTGATGGATGTGACCCAAGGACGAAGACGAGAGTGCAGCAAGAACGTCCAAACGTCCAAAAACGGGAGCCGAAAGGATAACAGGTCCTGACGGCTACTGGATAGTACTTGGATGAATACCAATCAGAGAAACAATTGGCAAGCCGTCGTCCTCCGGCCAGCGAACAGGATGTGATGGCAATTTAAGGCAGACGGCAGACGGCAGACAGCAGACAGTCGCTCAAAATGGAGTTTCTCCGGGCCCCATCTGGCCTTCGCCATGGTGCGAGGGGGCGTGGCAAGCGCACCGCCTCCGGGCCAGCAACTGCAGCATGTCCTGGCCAATTGTCCGGGCTGGGGGTGTGCGTGAGGCCGGAAGTGAGGAAGTGCGCCCCTTTTGCATCGCCATCATGAAGTCATTCACTCAATTTATCGTTTGATGAATGTCCTGGCAGATAGTCCTGCTACTCCGCTCCCCCCACTCAGCCCTACGGTTTTGGGGCGTTGATGTCGGGACACACACACGTTTAATGGCCATTTGAGCAGTTGATAAACGTTTCGCTCGTTTGCGTTGATGAAATGTTGTCGTTGTCGTTGTCGTTGTCGTTGTCGGTGCTGTCCTTGTTTGGTCCTGCATTGTTTATTTATGCCCGGCATATGGCTCATATGGAGCTCATAGCGCACATCCAGCCCCACATCCCCATCCTCCGCCTGTGGGGGCCGTTTAGTTTTTGCGCTTATTTCTAATTGTTTTTCTTGCTCGCTCGTCATGCGGCGCATTTTGATTTATGGCGCTCTTTTCGGCTTGTTTTCGACGTCCTTTTCTACAGTTTTTGAGTGGAGCCAGCTTCTCGCTGCAATCGGTTGATGGCAATGATACTATTATGATGTCACTGGCTGACAGGCGACACACTCGTTCGCATTCTGGGCCGCGGAGTGGAGTATGGCTTATTGTACGAGCATGGCCTTGTTTTCGCCCAAATAAAGACTTGTTACTTATAGGTGCAGCTCGCCAAGTATTTAGCAGTATGTGTGTACGTATAGGGTATCCAGTTGATTTGAATAAAGCATCCCAAGAGTTTATTTGCTACATTTATTCTTCAAACATTCAAGCATGTTTTTGATGGCCCCACTTTTTGGTGATTACAATCCAACTAGGCACTAATTCTCCCAACAAAAGTGCCATTGTAAATAGAACTGCAAACAAACAGCAGATCGCCACCATTTAACACAAGTTTAGGACTCCACACGGACCACACAAGTAGATGTGCACGAGTATGTAAGTATGCAGACAAATACGAGGGAACAGAAAGCCCAACTAAAAACGGCTATCGGCTTTAAAAGTGTAATAAAAATGCATTTACACCTCAACCAAAAAAGGAACGAAGAAGCAACAAAAGCTTAAAAAGCGAGCCAAAAATATGGAATAGATTGGGAAGGCGCGCCAGCACACAAAAACAAAGAGCAGCAATCCAACACTAATAATTCGCTTTTATTGAGTGTTTCTGGTGCAATAAAAGCATTTCGGTTGGATTTCCCTTTGCTGGTCGTAAAAATTTGGAATTTTATTGGCCAGAGAGCCAGGCGCAATGCAAGATCATTTGGATACGCAGCGAACGGCTTGCTCCGCGTCAAATCTTCTCTCCCCTGCCCCCGCCCTTTAAAGAAACTTAACGAGCCAACAAATTACTACACGTCATAAAACTCAAATCACGAAAATATACCACGAAGCGCTACGGCTGGGCGGTCTAAAAATAATACTCGTAGCTCCCGAAAGGCAGGAGACTTCTTTATTTGGGGCCTCTGCCCCTCGGGTGACATTATCAAAATGATTTAACAGCACAGTTGCGGTGGCATTAGCTTTAGGCAGATTTCCAGTGCCATTTGATGGCGCATTAAATGAACTAGAGAAACTATCGACAACTTTTCAAGTTCGCCATCGTAAAGGTCGTACCGATCGCATGGGTAAGCTTTAACGTCAGACTTGGGATCTTAACTGAAGATGAACTGCGATCTAAACATCACCTAGTTCGTATTTCATTACCTATGCTCCATTATCATTATCATTTCGATATTCTTGATGGACATTTCCAAGTTGCAATGAAAAAATGTGTTTTATGCTTATTTAGTATTGCAGTTTTATAAATCTGTATTATTTAATTACTTATAGACTATGAGAGTTTATGGACCGCTGACATCCACACATAATTTGTTCTACTATTTTCGTTAGCAAGCAATTTGAAGAATCCACGGTCGGGGATGGCCACTGGGCCACTGGGCCACTGACTAGTTCCTGGATGCCTTCTGACCAAACATGGGCTGCGCCTTTGCAGCTGCGCTATCGTCACCCATGGTAATCACAGTGATCACCGATGACCGCTCCTTGGCAGACTGCATCAGCTGCTCTATGGTGTCGCGCCGGTAGCGACGGATAGTTCCCTGTGTCACCTGACCCTTTCCATCCATGCGCATCTGTTGGGGATGGCGGCGCAGCCAGGTCCATGGCTTTTCCCGATTAAACGGTTCGTGCAAGAGCACCGGGAGCGGATCGCCATAGTACATTCGCTTCGTGGTCCGCCTAGGAACTGCCTCACCATCACTTGCTTTCTTTCGCTTCCTCGAGCCGCGAGCCGAGCGGCTCTTGAGCACGGCTTTCGATGCAGAAGCCTTCACCCTTTCATAGTACGAATCGGCAATTTCGGTGGCGATGCTGGTACGACTTGGGGCCTGTTTTGGATTGGTGACCGTGCCATCCAATTTGAGCTCTTTGATGGCAGTTATTAGTTTCTCGGTATCGCGCGTCAGATAAGTCTTATCATTTACCTGGAAAAGCATTTTGGCGAGCCGCCTGGTGCGTTCTAAGGGTAATGAATCCTCAAGCGCCCAATTTCCGGGCGTGTACATGGCATCTAGGCCAGCGGATTCCAGACTTGCCCCGAAAACGTATCCAGGATCTTCGGTCGAGCGACGTTCCAGGCCGGTGTTAAGATGGCTTCTCTTCTCTGAGGCCTTCGCTTCCGAGTTCCTCAATCGCCTCCTGCCGTTTTGAAAAGCGACGGAGTCGCGATCGATGCCAGCTCTACGCGCTCTGGAATCCCTTTTAATTGACCCACGTGGGCTGCTGAAGCCTGCGTCCATTGGACTGAGCTCCCTGGGTGCAGATTGCTTCAAAACAGTTTGCACGGCGCGCATTAGTAGCTGCAGGGAGTCTTCGCTGAAGCGGCTCCTAACGTTCCCATGAGTATCGAAAATTCTCATAAAATCCTCACAGGCACTGCAGTTCACATATGGAACTCTACAAGAGGGACCCACGGTCTCGGCGGGATAAAGGATCGCTGCAAAGTTCTGGAGGGTCAGTGTGTGCAAAAAGTCGGACACCAAATCCGGCGGACGATTAAGGGCCGTGGCCAGCGACAGAATAATGCGCTGGTTGGTGGAGAACCAACGCTCCCTGTGCGACTTCTGAGGACATTGACACCCCAGCTCCATCAGGACCGACATGCGTTTCTGCTCCTCCGAGTCATCGTTCAGTTGCTTGAATGGGTTCTTCGCGGAGTTTCCCGCCGGAGGCTTTCGCGAAGAGCGACAAGAGCAGGGAGCTAATCGCTGAAGGCAAGAGCCGCTGCCGAGAAGATTGCCCGCGAAGATTCCATTCCTCAGGCTGAGCATTTTTGCAATTACGGGCTTAGTTCAAAATATATTTTCCCCAATTCAAATAGAACTGTCATGTGAAATTTGTAAAAGACGTCTCAGCGCGCTTCGTCACCCTGAAAATCAATCGGATATTTCCCAGCTCCTAAATTGGCAGGAATTGGTCCACCTAGCAGAGTACCTCGTTCCGGAGTAAGGAATGCCTTCTCTTGTCCAGCAAAACCAGCATGGAATCGGAATCCCGAGGGTTTTGGGAACTTGCATAAATTTGAAAGACAGAAGAGTAGAGAGATCGCGATTAGAATCTTCTGTTACCAACTATAATATTTGTTACTAAAGGTTATGTAAAGAAACGTTAAATGTTTATTAATTTGGTTTTGCGCTTACATTGTTTACATTTTAAAGGTAAATATTTTATTGAACATATGGATTTAAATAAATCCTTAACTATATTTTAGCTTCTTGCCTTTTCAGATTCATTTTTATAATTGCATAGTTGCACAATTTCGATCTTTGTCGTGCCCATTTTGTGAAATTAGGAATCCAAAATAAGGCAAACTCATTATTCCTTAAGCATCAATTGCTTTCAATTGCTTATAATTTTCAATCACCAAAATATATATTTTACAGCACTTTTTATATTGATAAAAATGTATAAATAAAATATTATTACTGATATAGATTTACTTTCTGGGACTACTTGATCCACCCAATTTCCTTTTTTATTCTCACCTTGAAATGAACTATTGCACATGCACATGCACATGTATGCATGCGTAAGTGCCGAATGGACGAATAAGAGCATAAGGTCAACGAAGGCAGAAGGGAGAACTGTGAAATAACCGTCAACTTGAAGATTGCAAAAATTAAGCTGGACTCTAAATGACAATACACCTCCCCGTTTTCCATTGCACTTCACTTTGGCACCAACAACAATTAACCCTCGCACACTCATTTCACGAAGGCAAGAACAAAGAAAGCGCAAAAAGTCAAACAAATAATGGTGGAAAAAGAAGCAAAACTTAATCTAGCCCAATTCTATTGGGTGCGAGAGCGAGACCGCGTTGTGCGCCGCTGCCTGACAGAAGGGAAAGACAAGACAGATCAAAAGAGCGAACGAGGGAGAGCCACGCAAACGATGTTGCTGTTTAAGGGGAAAAGCGGGGCGATAGGAACGGCTGAAATGAAACCGCAGCTGTCTCTGCAAAAGGGGAAATAAAGAGAAATATCTAATGTGGATTTCGCTCTTTTGCTCTCTCTCTCTCTCTCCTTCTGATTGGAAGCAGCGCTGCACGAGCACGAGAGAGCGTTCACTGGGAGAGACACAAACGCAAACAAACCACACGCCTGCAAACAGCGCTGCATGTGCTGAATTTACCGGCACTTCTTCGACGACGTCATCGGTATCGGTAGAGGCGTCGACGCACGACTTCCGCAGCACCCCGTCCCGCACAAGTCACAATAATCAAACCCCAGTAGCTTGTGTCGGTAGGGATTGCAAAGCAACGCAGTTCAACGAAAATCTGTGGGCCAGGGGAATCCGAAATCGTATTCACGTGTACAGATGGTTATGATATGTATTACAATTGGAGTCGGGGACGATCAGCTGGTTAAAGACAAAACTTGTCCAATTTGATGCACGGGGAAGCACTTGATCCGCAGATAAGACTTCATAGGCGCAAGCACGGCAATGAGAGACTTGGGTAAAGTTCACGCCCACACTTTGAAAAATGTTTGATTTTAATTTCATTTTAGTATTTGTCTTTCTTGTTCCTATCGATATGCCGAAAAAGACTTGCAACTTCTTCCACGTATTGACACTAGCTGAGTAACAGATTTCTGAAATTCAATTACATGATACATCCCACTCTAATAGATACTAATAAAGCTTGCAAGAAAAGAGAAAGGAAAAAGAAGTGACGAATATGTAACATTTCTATAGGTATTACTAATGGTGTCGTCCAGAAACAGTAACCGTCCAGTTATTATCTTTAGAACTAGCAAAAATAAACTTTAAAATATATTTGCAAAGCGGTTATTATTATTTGTTATTATTAATGTGATATATTCCAACTCGACTTTAAACTAAGTGGACTTTAAAAATTGTCCATTAACTCAATCCTATTTTTGACAGTTTTAGTTTTATGTAAATGGAAAAGAATTGATAAATTAAAATATATTATTTCCATCCAAGAGAGAATGGTATTTTCGAGTTCCACGACTATTAAATACCCGTTACTCAGCTAGTGGCAAAACAAATAAAAGAAATGATCAAAACGTTCAAGAGCGTGGGTAATAGGCGGCTAGTAGGCGTGGCCAACATTTTTTGTACCATATCAATAGAAATAGGAAAGACAAATAATAATATGGAATCAAGGGTCAACAACCTTGCGCTGCGTCTATGTTTCTGGGATCTGCATGCTGAATCTCAACATTCTAGCTTTTGTAGTTCGTGAGATCGATGCGTTCATACGGACATAAAGACATGGCCAGTTCGACTCGGCTGTTGAGTATTATATAATATACCATATAAAAGGTCGGAAACGCTTCCTTCTGCCTGTTACATACTTTTCAACGAATCTAGTATATCATTTTACTCTACGAGAAAAAGAGAATATAGTTTTATATGCTTACTATATAAAAAGAATTCTATACTTCTTGGTCCAAGTATTTTTAATTATAGACTGTACTATTAGTTACAATGTATATACGAGACTACGATTTAGGTAGATCTAAATATTAGTTGGGGTTGTCTGTATTAGAGAGAAGAAGGAAAAATAAGAAGCTTTACAAACAGATAACCCACAATTCTGGGGTATGGTTATTTTAAAACTTGTATAAATTTTAACATTTTTCTCGTATCCTGTTTATATCCTGTTTGTTTTCACTTTGATTTCACAACACCAAACAGACCCCTGATAAGGAAAGTGCAAACGGCACGCTTCGTTCCAAAATATTTTATCATTAGGCCAACAGGTAGATCACAGTTCATTAGGGAATAGCTCATTGCATTTTATGGGGTCAAGATTGAGATAAGCCTTTGATCTGGAGCGTTTCCGAGATTGCACTTCGCGGTTCGCGGATGATTAACACCTTGGGAATGCCCTCGCAGGCATCGAGGATTATAAGAGCGGGAAGGGCAGTACAGTACTGCGTACTATGGGCACGCAGATTCATAAGATCGCACCTGAGCTCGGTAGACTCCGCCGGTTCAAAGGGATGCCGCCGCCACTACAGGCAAACAAACAAACAAATTAGGAACTCGTTCGATTGCTAGAATTATGATGGGAACCAATCAGCAATGGCACCGTTCCGCCGTTTGAAGTTCCTTTGACCTGGCCTCGGAAGCAGCCGCCTTTAATCTCCGATCCGGCTAATGGCCCACAATGGGCCTAGGTGAAAGACACTTCCGTGTCGGCCTTTCTGTTGCTCATTGTGGGTGGCAACCACTGCTGCCGAAGCCGCAATCACGCAATCACAATCTCAAGCACTCCACGCACCACACAGCAATTGGCGCCTACAAGTATAACTTATATGTATTTGTATCAGCTAATTTTTAATATTTTATGGACTCTTGGCCTGCAAAACGCTTTGAACTCGCCTTGATTCGGATCCCCCTGCGCTCTGGAGCTGAGATATTTATGTGTATGGAGGAGTACCTAGCCCATAAATTGCACGAAATTATGCGTAAATAAAGCAAAGCCGTCTGTTCGGGGTCCGCCGACCGTTTGATGTTGTTCGGCTTTTGTGACTCGGATGGTGGGGTCAAGGGGCAAACTAAATCATATATTTCCTCAGAAATCGAAAAACACATTTTATAAATAAAATTCTGGATGGGCTTGCCCATCTGAATTGGTTATGTGTAAATTCATCTTCGTTCTGAGGAGATTCGTTGAAAAGTAGGTAACAGGTAGAAGAAAGCGTTTCCTACCCGATAAAGTGAATATATTCTAGGTCAGGATTACAAGCCGTCTATCCTCTGTTCGTTCGGGCGCAGAGATCTCGGGAACTATTAAAGATCGAAACTGGATACCAAGAATGGAGATTGAAGAGGCGTATCGCAGCGCAAGTTTGTTTCAGTAGACCCCCAAGCCACAAAAAGCGGCCAAAATTGATACCCCTCACTCGTAGAGTGAAAGGGTATGCCAGGTGAGTAATGTTTATCTGATAGACCAGAAAGTCGACTATAGCGTCCTCTCTTGTTTTTAATTTTTTTTGTCTTTTAATCATTTTTAAAAAAGATATGTTCATATGTAAGAGGGTATTTAAAAATTATTAATTTACAAGTTATATGTAAAACTCTGTACCGACCATATAAAGTATATATATTCTTATTCAGGTTATTTCAGAACGTTGCCAGCTCCAACGCCTACAAACCGCCCAAAACTGACACGCCTACACTTTTGAAAAATGTTTTGATATTTTTTATTAGTCTTGTAAATTTCTACCGATTTTCCCAAAATCTTTTTGCCACCCAAATCTACTTTTTGCCAAATCTACTGCCCAAAACTGTCACGCCCAAACTTTTGAAAAAATTTTTTAAATTTTTGTATGCATATTTTTTATTAGTCATCATTAGTCATTTTTATGGGAATGCCAAAAACATTTTAGCAACGCCTTTTCTGACGCCCGAAAACCGCTCAATACTGCCATGCCCACACTTTGTATTTTAATATTTTTATCGCCTATTTCAATCGATTTGACAAAAAACAAGATAGAATGCTTTAGTCGAGTTCCCTGACTATCAGATATCCGTTACACAGCTAGTGAAAGTGCGAACGATAAGTTTCAACACTTCTTCGGTAGAAATTTAAAAAAAATAAAAACATGACAAAATTTTAAAACTATTTAAAAAGTGTGAAAGTTTTTCGTGGGCGTGGCAACAGCATTTAACTGCCTCTATATCTCTGGAAACTTATCTCAACTTTCTAGCTTCTATAGTTCCTGAGATCTCGGCCTTCATACGGACGGACAGACGGACATGGCCATATCGACTCGGCTTTTGATCCTAATCATGAATTTGTATGCTTTTTATAGTTGGAAACGCTTCTTTCTACCTGTTACATCGTAAAGCTGTTAACATTTTGTATTTATTTTCTCCTTCTGTGTAGGTAATCACATTATCAAGGCAATGCCACTCCTTATCTCTTGTCAAAATTGAACATGACTTCAAATGCTAAAATACTAAAAAAAAAATTGTCAGATTAAATAGAATAAAGAAATTAAAAATAAAGAAATGAACAGGAAAGGCGAAAATACGGAGCACGCAGGGGCCTATTTTTCACGGCACTCAGAAGACCGTTGCTTACCAACATGTCTTGGAGAACCCATCATCGATGCTCTGTCGCGGAAGGCGTTCCATCAAGTTATTGGAATTAATTCAGATCATACCATTCCGGATTATACAAAGAAGTATGACGAAGAGCCCAGGAACACTTTTTGGATATCCGTGAGCGACTATCAGTTGGACAAGGCTTACATGGTCTACCGCTTCTTTCACGATATCGGTGGCATTGTTGCCCAAAGCTTGACGAAAACTAATCGCATGTACCTGAGGTACTTCAGCATGGAGGATTCCCAAATCGCGCTGAGCTACGATGGCCAAAAAATTGGATATGGCGGTGATATTCGCGTCAAAGTCAGGGCTGAGAACCACGTTACCGAAAATTCCGTCACTGAATTTCGGGAGCAGTGCTCAGAGTGTAATGGCAATCCCACTGACAATAAAACCACAGAGACGGCCATCGTCTATGTCGAGGATAATAAGGACGAGAAGTTAATTTGTGATCAACTAAAGATGGGAAACCAAGGCGAAAATAAGTCTAAAGGCACAAATGAAAAAGTCTGCTTATCACAATGGTTTAAAGAAAAACTATCTTATGTGTTCTACTTTTATTAAATTCTAACACCAGTTTTTTCAAGGATTTGTTTGAAGTTCTGTTACTACCAAACCTCTTGAGACAACGATTGGTTTTTAGTTGATTTCGTCAAAAACTAATTTATTTTAATACCCTAATGCAAGTCTAAGAAAAATGGCAATATTATCATAGCTGATATCTGCCTTTAAAGTTTTCAAATCGAATATACATTAATAAGATTATGCGTTTGCTAGTGGTTAGGCAATTTTCGACTTTAAATTAGGAAAATAGATAACGCTATTGTCGGGTTTCTTGACTATAAGATACCCGTTACTCAGCGAGTGGGCATATCGATAGAATTTGGCACAAAGATAATAGAATGAAAAATAATTTGAAAAATTTGTAAAAGTGTGTGCTTGGGAGTTTTGTGTGGCTTGTGGAACTTGGAACTAAATGGAACTTGGATAGACAAAGAATAAAATACAATTTGAACACATTTTTCAAAAGTGTGGGCGTGACAGTTTTAAGTGGTTTGTTGGCGTTAGGGTGGGCGTGGCAGGATCAGGAAACTTGCGCCTATATGTCTATATGTCTGCAATCTGCATGTCTTAACCTTTATATTTCCTCAGATCTCGACGTTCATACCAGATCGACTCGGCTATTGATCCTGATCAAGAATATGTATACTTTATTAGGTCGGAAACGCTTCCTTCTACCTGTAACCTACTCTTCAACGAATCATTATACCCTTTGCTCCACGACTAAGGGGTATAAAAATTTCCATGCAAGAGGACAATCCCGGGTTGGAACCCAGGGAATTATTTATTGAATTAGCTTAAGATTTTTAATGAGCTCTGGTTTTCCCTTTACTTACCACGATATATATATATTTTTGTGCGTATGTGTGTATATACATACATACGCGTATATAAATAAGATTAGCAACGTAAGAACTATTTTCTTGTTCAAGAACTTTTCAGTGCACTTGTGCTACACGTAATACACTTTGAATACACGTAAAGTAAATACCAGTAAATGTTACACACTCATCCAACAACAATGTTCAATGCCGATAAATTAAATTTGCATTGTTCACAAACGCATTTCTGGGATGGACCGCGAACTCGGACTCTGGGAGCCATTATAGAATTTTTAATTACAATAAATCAATTTAAATAAAATGTAATTTTTCAATTTTATCAAATTGTCATTATGCGTAATTAATTCCTATGCACAAATGCATTTTAGTATAACAACGCGCAGCACGCCTAAACTAGCGCCGTCGCCCTCTACCGCCAAGGGGTGGAACTACGGCCCTACACGATAGTCGTCAGTCCCGATTTGCCACCATTTTTGAGGTGGTACGCGACGTGGCACTGTGTGTGCATTTGTTTTGTCAAAAATAATGCTGCTTAATTATTATATTTGTAATTTATTTGCCCCGCAGTTATCGGATCCAAATGCTAAAAAGTATGCGCGGTGCTTTAATGCCACATTAATCCCGCACAACAAACAGACCAACAAAGCCTGATACAAAGCAACAACAACTACGACGCCGCCGCAACAAACGCACTCAAAATGGGAATGACAGTAATAAACAACAAAAGCAATTCAAATGCAGCGCATAGAATGCATAATTAATTTTTATTTTGATGACAACGTCAACGCACCATCACCATCACCATCACCAACCAGTCCAGTCCAGCCCGTCGCCCTTTTTCACAAAACAATCCGTGGTGTGCTTTTTGGCATGTCCACTGCAATTATCCTGTATTGGACTTATGTATTTACATATATGTGAATTGGAATGCTCAAATAAGCCCAGGTAGTTATGTAATATATATGCCACTGAAATGAGCGACAATTTTGATCAAAGTTGAAGTGGTTAACTCTAAGCATACAATATTTTATTGGGTTTATATGAATTATATTTTAAATGTTTAAAGTATTAACGGAATTACTTAAAATGGAATATGAGGTAAGGTAACAAATATAAAAGAACAACAAATAATTATTTGAATACTTACTTTCTAGTAAGCAGAAATAAGTAGACCGTGCGTTACTTCTGACAATCAAATTCGAGGCACAGTTTAAACACTTTTAAACACTTTTTTTGGTAATTTGATTGATGCTGGTACATTTTTTATTGTATTAGTTACGCATTTGCGACAATTTATGTATTATATGTATGTATTATGTATTATAAGTATATCGGTGTAATATCGGTTTTTATTTTCAGTTAAAAATGGTGCTTTAGCCCCAACAAGAGAAACACCATAATTGTCTGAATTATCCGTGGTTTAGAAGTTTTCGATAAATTGAGATTTCAATTGGCACCACGGTCAATGACGTCAGAGAGTCGTGAGCAATAATTGTAACCGACGGTAGGTGACGCTCACAATCTGGGAAACAGGCGTTTTCTGGCTGTTATTTCGAGAAAGACGTACATATATGACCAGCAATTTGTTTAATTCCGCCACGTTGACGCTTCTAACTGCATTTGCCCACACTGTTAACGGGTCGGAAAGCCAGCAAACTGCGTTTGCCCACACTTGACCGCAGAAAGAGGCAGAGACCAGCACAAGTCAGGTTAAACACAAATTAACCTCATTTGACAAAACAAAGCGAACAGCGCTAAAATGGATAATTTGTTAAATAAATTGCTCGATTTTTATTCAAACTATTCAAATATTTGGTTGCTGGTATTTGTAAACTGCCTATTTGCATACGATGATAAATAAAAATGAGAAATTAAACTCTTTTGTTATGCTTTCCATAATCTCTGTTGTTTTGTTTCGGACGTCGATAGATACAAATCCTTTTTATTTGTTTTTTGAAAATGTTGTTTAGTTTTTATGCCTTTTGTTGGTGTTTTTTACATCCCGCGGCGCATTAAGCGCCTGTCGCCAATTACGGCAAACGACCCGAACACCTTTTCCCTCCAAGTTTCACCCCACTACCAATGATATGTGAAAACAAATCCGCTAAAATTATTGCGTTCATTACATTTTAAGCACAGGTGATTAGATTTTATAATTTGCATGGCTAAGCCGAGCCAAAAATGTTCGGCAGTACAGTTGTGCACATTATTTATTTAAAACAATGGCAAAAATTATTTTGAAATTGTATTTGGTTTTTCTTATTTATTAGTGGCTTTATTTTATTTCCCCCTTTTCATTTCAAGCACTATCGATATGCGGGATCAGCGATTGCCTGCAATTTGAGTTTTTATTCTTTGTGTATTTATTCAATTCCATGTTTTCTAATCATTTTTAGCCAGTTTAATTAGTTTCTCCTGCAGAGCTCATGTAGGGAATTTTTAAAACATTTCCTCTTTGGTGCGAGTTCGACATTGTTAATTAAGTGCTCTGAGGATTTTAATTATTTACCACACTAATACTAAACTACTAAGCTAATTTAATTATTTTTTTAATAGTTTACACGCGGTTTCCTGTCCGGAAAGTGACGGCTACAGCAGGCCTGAAAACTAACGTCTTTTTGTCAATCGATATTTATCAATCAAACGTCCCTATCCGGATCGTAACAAACCCGAAGAAATGGCACGGTTGATGTTGCGAATAAAAGTGTCCATGATCCTGATTGGATTATTTTGCACGCTTTACCTTGGGCTCCTGCCCCTATCTGAGTGGTTTGAGAGGAAGGATCTAGTGGCTGCACCCGAGGAAATTGTCTTTGTCAACACATCCGTGTGTCATGTAAGTGGCCCAAGGAATCCGGCGGCGTTTTGCTGTGCGATTGAGCCGATTAACAAGTTGCGGTGTCGCATGCCTCAACTACTAACTGCGGTAACTCAGGACGGTAGCAATTTTCTGGAGGCCAACAAGATTTCGGAGGACTTGAATTGTAGGTATTGGCTGAAATCTAGATACACCCGCATCCACTCAGGGCGGTACACAACGGATGGACGATTTGATCTGAAAAGTGGCGCGAACAGAAAAATTAAGATCGGCACAGGAGAGCAAATAGTTCGAATTAGGTGCTCGGACAAGTTCAATGAAACCAAATACCACGACGTGCATTATTTTTTGCCTCCGCCTGATCGCAAACTGAAGCCGACAGAGAGTCCTGAAAAATTGTCAGTGATGGTGTTGGGCATTGACTCAGTATCGCACATGCATTTTGTGCGATATTTTCCCCTTGTACAGTCCTTTTTAGAAAATCACCCGCACACGATGTTCTTAGGCTATAGTCGAGTGGGCTTGGATGCAAATGCCAATTTGGTGCCGTTTCTGGGTGGCAAAAGCCGGCGAGTAGCGGTATCAGACTTTTTATCCGACGAGAAATTCTCTTTGTGGGAAGGCTTCAAGATGCAAGGCTACAGCACTGCCTATGGCGAGGATAACGCCAAAGGGATCCTCTCCGGAAGGAACGGGGACGAAGAGCTGCCCAAAAATAAAGTCGATTTTGATTTGACTCCTGTACTTGTCGAGATGGATAATCACACGCGTTATAGCATTGACCTGAAGGAGAGGATCCACTGCACGGCAGGACGCAAATTCCAAGAGGTTCTCAGGCACTTCATCCTCCAGCTGGTACCCTATATGCAAGGAATGCTCTTTTTTTCTTTTTTCTGGCAGTCGCAGGGTGTCGAAGAGTACTACGAATACGCTTCGCACCTGGATCTCTCCTATATGATGCTTTTGAAGAAATTGGTGGACGCGGATATTCTAAACAACACCCTGCTGTTTCTGATGTCCGACCACGGCCTGCGAGCTGGAGAATACCGCATGAGCCTTCAGGGCATGAAGGAAGAATCACAGCCCTTAATGGTGGCAATATACCCGGAATGGCTAAAGCGCAAATACCCCCTGGCAGTGGGGAATCTTGAAGGCAACGCACATAGCCTGATCACTCCGTACGATCTGCGCGAGACCCTGGCGGATGTTTTAGTTCTCGGTCAACTGAAGAACGCCAACATAGAGGTCGGCATGAAGAGGCTCCAGTCGCAACCCGCACATAAGTTGCCCAGGGGCATCAGCCTCTTTCTCCCGGTTCCTGACCACAGGACCTGCGAGTTGGCTCACATTCCTCCCCTCTTCTGCTTTTGCCGCGAACTCACCGAAATTCCCACGGACGACGGACTAGTCCTTCGAAGCAGTCGCTTTTTGGTGGAGTCCATCAACCAGCTAATCAAGCCCTTCGGACAGTGCCGCCAGCTGAAGCTCGAAATGGTTCTACTGGCCTACTTCTTGGACCTCGGCGACGAGTCCTTCGTCTACGAGTTGAGGCTGCGGGTGCGGACGACTCCGGGGAGTGGAGTTTTCGAGGCCACCGTTCGGCTCTCTGACGTTCTTCTGTTGACCAGTCCCATTAGTCGGGTCAACCATTACCTAGGGCAGTCCCACTGCGTCGGCGATCCGGGCCTGAAATTATTTTGCTTGTGCGTTTGAGAGGTGTATTTGGTCGACTCATCCAAAATATAGTCACACATTGGCATTTCCGAGCTGGAAACCACAATACCACCAGTCTAGTAAAATGTTTTCAAATGTATGCGAAATAAACGAAAGGTTTCACCATTTATGGGTATATTTCTATTAGTGGGCCTATAGTGTATTTTTGAAAACTTTCGTTGCGAATTCCTTTTGTTTGCTGCCCTAAAACTGAGAATAGGTATGAATCCTTTTATAAACTTAACGTGTGAATTTGATACCTGTAAGGGAAGTTTTGTCAAGGTTCATGCTGCTTCTATATTCGTATTTTAATAGAACTATAGTTTAAGGTCTGAGTACTCACGTGCGGTGTCATTGAATTTAAAAAAAGGATGGAAATAAATTTCATTAATCAAACAGTAAGCCCAAAGACAATGGTCCATAGCCCTTGGGCCCACAGCGGATAATTTGCGTCAAAATGTCGGTTTGTTTGAAGAGCCAGTGGTTCCACAGAGGCTGCTTCGATGAGCGACGTGCAATGGAATTAAAATGAAAATATATTTAAATGCCACATCGCAACCAAAATCCGTAATAATTTGCAATTTATTTGCTGGGAGTAAAGCTTCTATACCCGTGCTGACCTGGAACGGCGTTCACGGGAGTTATAAATTTAAAAAAATAATTAAAAACCATTTGGATGACAAGTCGCTTTCAATTACCGCAAAATGTCCTAAAATGAACGCTTTCCCATTGATTGTTCGCGATTGTTGGCAGGCCTCAGGTTGCACACGAGGTGACTAGCACAATGGGTAAATTGAAATGTTCCGTCCACTGGACGTGATCACCTCCACACCTCAGCCTCTTGGCGGAGAGTGCGTGACTGTTCCATTTGCTTTATATAAATATTTTCGCCCGGGCTGCAGCGGATAATTGGCTTTTTTATTGTTAAATTGAAATCCTGCATGGTTGGTGCCAACGCAGTTGGTACGCTCAAATCTTAAACTGATTTACACTAGAACAATTTAGGCTCACAGATTAAATTGTATACCAATCGGTGAAATTCGGCAGTGTATAAAAAAAGAACTAGTGCCTTTTGTAGAAATGCGTCGACTAGCAGATACCCGTTTCTCAGCCAATAAATTGCAAAATATGCCGCCAATATTGATACAACAGGTGATTTCCTAAACCAGGGCTGTAAAAGGAGCAGAACCAAAACCGGTGCGGTTTTTTATTTCATGAAGGAACCAGAACCGAACCCCAGTTTTTAATTCGAGCTCGGTAAAAGAAATTTGATTACTCTTTTCGTATGGACATTCTCTCAATACTTGGGTACTTTGTGTTATTAGTAACATGTAGCGCATTTTTGCTAAGAGACGAAAAATACCCTATTGGGTTGTTCAATAATATTGTTCACCTATAATTCCCGTCCATTTAACCAATTTTACCCACAACATTTTAAAATATTCATCCAGTTGTAATATACTAGATGCTTGACATTGAATATATACACCACGGTACAGTGTGTATACAGTTTTCTTATAAGGATGATTCCTTATCTTCCTCTTATTTTATTTAGGAATCAATGGAAGCAATAAATACAAGTGTAAGTTTTGCGTTTTCGACATGATAGGTAAACATAGATCAAATTTAAATAGTAATATATTGATTATTATTGCCTTAATATTGGTTTTAATGCTAATGTTATCTATTATTATAGAGAATGATAGTTCATTTTTGTGTGGTTAATTCAATTGTTTAAGCCGGAGTTCCAGCATGTCGACGAATCGATTCTTAAGCCCGATTACTTGCATGAAAGTGCAAGACGAGTATGATTGGAATTACATTTTATATGGACAGCCGTAATAAAACAAAGTATTTGTTTTTAAAACCCCAGTTGTTTCGAAAGTTATAAACACCACACTCCGTATCGATTAGATTTCCAGTTGGCACGACGAAATTCAGTCCGTTGCGGAGCATAAATCTCAAATTGGTCTAGCCGGTAATCACTCAAATCGCTCTGATTTGGTTCGAATTGTTAACGGTCATAAATAAGCTAGTGAGGTGTGGACGTTCAAAAAAGCGCGGCTCATAAATAAATTCCATCAATGTCAAAATGAAGCGAACTGAAAGTGATCTTATCGCTAATTAATGTGGGCGTCCATGCTCAATGTGTGGGTGCTTATACTGGGTATTGTAATCGATACCAAGCAGAGAATGACACATATTAGAGGTTATAAATTTAAACGACCTCTATTATTTTCTGGTAGCATTACAAAATCAGGTCGATTGGTTGGGTACATGGGTAAAGTGTAGAAACGCAGTGTTCCAAAGTTGACTGGATAGTTCATTCTCTGCAATAAGCCTTTTATATTCAACTAAAACACCTCAAGGCTATTGCATGTCTCGATAACTCCTTCTGGAATAGCCATGAATTCAAAGCTGACAATGTCAATCAATCGCTCATCTGTCAAAGGACAAATGATTTTTAAAATCTAAGCCCTGCCGTCCAAAAGTCAAGCCACTTGCAAGCAGAGTCGAGAAAAATATTCATAAAACACGGAAAGCGGAAACAGACACTTTAAATGCTTGCGATATTGTCAATCAAAATTCAATCGAAGTCATGAATCATGCCAAACGGAGGAGACGGTAATGGTTATGCTGATGGCTCCGGAGCATCTCTGAGTCGATTGACTGATAGACGGATGGGTGAATGCAGTGGCACTGAGTAAAAAATACAGCGATGAGAAAGGATGAAATGGAATCAGTCAATGCAAGGATGCGTGTTGAAGGATGGCCGGGATAGCAGGGCTGGTCGAGCTCGATGTGCGACAATTCGAGGAGACGAAGCATTTAACATTGGCAGCCCGGCAATGATATGGAGCCCAATGGAATGTCACTCCTCCCTTTCAAGTCGCCGTCATCAGTCAATGTCAGCATGATAGTTTTGACATTTTTATGAGCAAATGATAAGTCTCACTCTGATGACTGCCTGTCTGCGATGGCCAGTGTTTGGCACTTGCCAGCCACAAAATATTTGCGAGCACCCAATCCGCACAGCTCGGATTTTCGTCGAGTATGTATTTATGACCTGGGCCCCAAATTATTATCGCACACGCTGTGTATATTTTTAAATTTAGCTCTGTGGTCCTCCTTTCGTCGCCAAATCGGGAACGGCCATCAATCAAACTGATTTCCTAGCCATCTCCCCAACACCCGAAGCCGTTTGGGGTTTTGCTGGATCGTTCACGGGTTTAATGATTGACTATGACACTGTTGACTATTCACTATTTCTACCATGAGTAGAAAGTGATGCCCAACATGGCTTGGGGTCTGGCAAGGTGTTCGCTTTTGGCTTAGGAATTCTGTGCTCGTTTCTCTAATTTAGAAACAGTGATCTAGTTCAGTTGCTCTCAAGTTGTTTTTCAAGTTCTCCTATTCTCATTACATTCTTGGGTAAATTCACAACTTTTTGGCTGTTCAACGAAGAGTCCCAACATGGGCAATGTTTTGTCTTTGATTAGTATATTTTAAAGGGCAATCAATAATATAAGATTATGACAAGATAGAATGCTTTAGGCAATTTCCCCGACTATCAGATACCCTTTACTCAGCTAGTGGAAGTGCAAACGAGAAATTTCAACATTTTCTGGAATATCGGTAGAAATTGGAAAAAAAGTAATAAAATGCAAACAAATGATTTTTTTTTAAATTCTACTCGCTGCTTCCATCGTCTTTAGCTTAGTGCTAAATTTTGGAGGGTACCATAGTGTCTCTTTTCGTTAGGAAAAGGTTTTCTATGATTTCTTTTTGGAAAAGAAAGAAACGGTATTAATACTGCATCGCAACTTTTCAAAACAAACTTGCGCTGCGTCTATTTCTCTGGAAAATGCATGCTTTCTGCAGTTTCAGTGAGCAGTTCTTTTACACTTTCTAGTAGATTTTCAATTAATTGATGTTTTCAAACTGAATCCATTTTTACCTTTGGATATGTATATAATATGTTATCATTTTATTGTACGAGTTGATAATGAATAACCATTTTTAGTATTTTTAAGCCACCCATAATAAAAAAAGTGTACTTTGCTTAAATTTCCCACAATTGATTTCCTGACATTATCTATATACATTTTTAAACCAAAAAAGGACCATAAATTACAATTTCGGATAGCAAAGAGGGACATATTCAGACCAATAATAACTGTATGGAATTGTCAAAAATGTGTACATTTTGCTTAATGTGAAATGTTTTCCCATCCCGAAAGTTTATTTTGGCTTCTAATATTCACTTCCGTTTCCGCTGCACGAGACCAAAGTGTGTTTCCGCTACCCTTTTACCACTCCATTCAAAACTTTTTTTGTACTCACCGAACGAATTATAACAAAACCAATTTTCCATGAAATGCTGGCAAAAAGACAACAGGGAAAAAACAAATTACAAATCAGACAATTAAATACTCACATTCAATACTCGCAAAATGTTTGACATTTATTAATTAAAAATAGGATAAACTATATATTAATTTTATTCAAATTGTCATCGGCAATAAAAGACAGCATATTTCAATATATTTCTTTGTTGCATTCGGAGTTGTCATCTGCATATTTTATGTACCAAAGTAGTAAAAAATAGTAGTATAAGTAATACTACGTATTACAAGAAGCTGTATTTAGTACTGAAGATTGGTTACATAGTGGGGCATAGGGTAATAGTATTAGTCTCGTATAAAATAGGCCCATATTTTTAATACGTATTTTTAATGAAATTTAAACAGTGCATAATTATTCTTTTCCGTTTCCTGTCACCGATCAAGCTAACAAGTTTCTTAAAAAGCTTTGCTGAGGAAATAAGTAATATTACCAGCTCCACAAAAATGGTTAGTCTCAGCAACAATACACTTATTTGCAGCATCGGCTTAAGATTGTGTTTAACTAAGTGACTGCAACCTGGAGTGATTAGGTCGGGATTATAGCAGTGGCTTGGAACACCTTGTAGAAAATCCATATAAGAACGGGGACCCTCCACTCCACAGCAACGCATCTGTGAAATGCAAATCCATTAAAAGGGCCAATGAGTAAAAATATATAAAACATACGGCATTTTCAAGCGAAGGCCAATCTGTCTCGTTGAAATTGGAGTGAGCCAGCCACTTGAGTGTTAAGCTATCCAGGAAGGAACTATAGTTCATGTTTATGGCTTCTAGTTGTTTTGTCATTGCGAAGTACGTCCAATGAAGGACGAATATCTGCAGCGGTACAAGCTAATTATTTTTTGCAGTTATGTATAAGCCTTATGTATAAGTACTTACCCCATAAACAAGCCAATGACCACTTAAGTTAGCTAAATAAATGCTCACCAAATACAGGCATAAAGTAATGGAAACGGTGCTTGTCAGAGCATTAAAACAGTTAATTACATTGATGGCTTTTTCAGTATTTTTTAATCGCCGAGTGAGGGGTACAGTTACGCGACATAATACGGCCAATATGAGCTAGAAGTCGATAAAGGTGTCATTGCAAATTTTAAGACTGGCTGCTAATTAGGCGCTTACCCCAAATAAAATACCAGTTAGCTTCCTTATCATGTCATCGACCATTTTGAGCTCAATTCTACGCAAATTGACAAAATATTCACAGCTAGAAACAAAAGCCTACCAAAATAATTCAAATTTTGCTTTTCGCCATTATGTTTGTATCCGAAATCACGCAGGTTTTTCTATTTGTGTTTCAATTCCTTTTTTCCTGGGCAACATTTTATTGTTGATTTATGGGATTTGCTATTTTTGACAGTTGTGTTTGCTACAGCGAATGCGAATGAGTGTGTGTGGATAACTGTTTGTTAGCATAAACATGATTTTATAATCGGCTTTCTATATTAATTTTATTTTTATTTTCGGCATTTTATTATAATTACTCTTGATATATGTAAATGGTCATCGTTAGCAAATTTATCGCTTCGCATATTTGTAGCCCTGTTGTTGCTGCACTTGATGTCCACATGTATGTATGTCCCTCAACTCGTTAGGAAATTTACTATGCATTTTTTGCTGTGGGTTTTCAGTGCGCCAATGAGCCATCCATAAAAATATTTGTGTGGCTTTAATTGTCGCGCTTGCTCGCTCCTACTATTCCATAATCGTATGCTCTTTGTTGTAAGTCAAAAGGGGTGTAGCTTAAAATGCAAAATAAAAAAGTGTAATATTTCGGCAAAATATTTATGATTATTAATGCTAATTTCAACAAATCCAATGCATTTTTGGTTTGCTGTTTGGACGCTGGCTAAATACTTTGGTGTTTTGTATCTGTTTGTGATATTTTAATTTTTCTGTCGCATTTGATCATAAATTAAGCGATTAACAAATAAAGGCCACCGTGGGTTATGCCCTTTTGAACTCCCACGAACTGGGATTGGTTTTTCGAATGGATGGCAGGGACACTGCTCAGTAGAACTATACTGTTTTTGATAAATCCCGATAGTCAGGATTCGGAGTGTACGGCATTGCGCCGCTGGGTGCTGAATGTAATATTAGAATCCGTGGTTTTGTATAAAAATAATTGAAATATGAAAATGTGTGAGATATGTTCTACTCGTGTAATATGCAATCGTGTTTGCCCTTCGAATATATTCATCTAAAAATATATAAAAACAAATTCATTACGTTACAGGTTTCTAAGTGAAAATTTGCATACGCCATGTTCGACACAACTAAATACTTTCCGCGCTCAGTTGATTCCGAGCATCCATCCTTGTCGGAGCCTAGTGGGTCCTCGTCACAGGACCATCCGGTAACCTACGACATGGTCCATAATCTGGAGGGCAGATCTCCTGATCAGAGTGCCATCGAAATGGCATCGGAAGCTGACGATGCCACTTCAGCTCCCCAGTTAATGATTATTTTTGAGGAAGGTGACATCAACAGTGCACTGCACTTCCTAATCGAGTCGGCCCAAAATCCCTTTGCCTCCAATGCGGTGGCTGTGGTTCTGGTTGAGGAGAAAATCCGGGAGGAGATCGTCGAGAGAATCCTGCCCAAGCTACACCCCCTGAGTAAGATTGTGGCCGAGCATCCTAGTTATCTGACAGCACTGGAGAAATGCGAGACCTCCAACTTGAACGTAATTAGGGCCTGCACTACTGAGGTGGCGCCCCCACTGGCCTCGCCCACTTTTGTTTGCGAGTGTACTCACGATGTGCTGGGTAGTTACCCAACTGGGGTTGTGACATTTCACACATTCCGCAATAACCAGGAGGCCATTGCCATATGTCGACGGGAATCACTGGCCTTCGCATCCGTCTCCATTTGGAACGAAACGCTCACGGGATGCTACGATCTCGTAGTGGCGCTCAGCTCATCCTATTTCTTTCTGAATTGCGCGAACGTGGACGTGTCACCAGTTTCAAGTCAGCTTAAGGCCCAGAAAAACTACGTGGCAATTGAAAACGGCTTTCACTTCGAAGCCCTACGCATCTATGACAACTTTAAATGCATCGTATTTCCCATTGGTGGACTAATCTTGCCACGCATCGAAGATCGCAAGAGGATCGAGGAGGAGCACCAAGCTATCTCCTTCTTAGAAGCTTAGTATTGGAGTAGCTTGGGTCATCCTCGACCACAACTTTCTAATTTACGAAAAGAGCTTGGCAAATTAAAAATTTTAGGGTATTTTGGGTGTATTTATGGTTACTGACGTTCATGATGCGCTCCAATATAACTGCAGTTGTCAGCGGATATTGAGTTTTTAGACGCCTTAATGAACGAACGCAGATTTCATGAATACACGTTGCGAAATAGGTCGACTAGTTTGCCCGTCGGTTTTTGTATTTTATTGTATTGCACTGGCAAACATGTTAAATGCTGGCCTTTTGTCTTTTCACTTAAAAATTGCCTTGTGTATTGTGCCGCACTGGAAAAATGTTTTCTAGCTTTGCAGCTGATACTTATTTTCAACTTGGCAATCTGATACAGGCATGACCGAATAAATTTACGATCGCACAGCACTCCGAAGTCACCACAAGCATCTGCCCCATAAAATCATTTTTTTTATGGGAGTATGATGGCAGTATGAGTGACGCCAAGTCGTCGCTTTTTGGCACTTAAGACCGGAATTTAAAAATAAAGCCCGCTCGTCAGTCGTCAGTAATTATCAGTTTGTGTTTTTTCAGTTTGGTGCCTTGGAATTTATTCCGCATAAATTCCCCGCAAGTGTCTGGCTCAATATGGAGAAAGGCTTATCAGGTGCAGTCACACCCTCCTCTGGGCAGCGCATCCCTCCCAGGTCGTTGGGAAATTCATTATAAAATGCGGTTTGAATTATTTGTCAAAATGTCTGGTCCAGGACGCAGTGACATTGATGTTGACATTGACAGACAGACTGGGTCGAATGTCCCCGGCAGACCAAGCCCAACTCACTCGTTCGATGTGACAAAATAAATGAAATTGTTAATGGCCAGTGAGTCACCGAGTTTATCGAGTTGGTAGCGTCATTATTGTCAGCTGCATCAGGACGGCGAGTAAGGTTTTGTAAAATGCACATTTTATTGGTGAATCCATATTGGTGGCAGTGAAGGCCCGAAATGCGCGATTGCCCATCATGAAATTCGGAATCTAACATTACCTAATATTCCCAGAGCAGCGGGTGACAAAAAATATCTTGCCACGCTTTAGGGGCAACAAATCTAGTTTAAAATGAATACAGAGGAAAGTGTAGCTGGCAAAATGCATCCCCATTAAAGCTGTGATCCGAATTCAGTGATCGTTTGAGCTTCACATTAAGACATTTGAGGACGCATACAGTACGCCCGTATTCAATGCAAGTCACTGCCTTCCGAGCCTCGAGTTAACTGTCAGTTTCAATCGTGTCTGCAGAACTTGTCACTCATTCAATAGTTTTGAAAATTGCGAATGTCACTTACAACCCAACAACAAGAGCCACTGCCTTGCACTTACAGCTCCCTCTTTCCTCGGGCACATGTGTCTGTGAGTGAACATCCTTGCCAAGGATGCGGACTGAGACAATGTTGCCGGAGACGGAGACGGAGAAGGATACTGCCACGAAGACAAAGTCGAGTCAGAAGGATGACGCGGCAGCAGACGCTGTGAATTAAAACAAGGCCAGGGAATAAAATAATAAAAGAACACGAAGACAAAGCATAAGAAAACTTGAACGTTCCCACACCGTTCCAGCCTCCGTATTTGTGTGAGGTTGACCCATAATAGAGAAGGGTTTTGGGGCCACTACACGGAGGAAAATAAATGGAGTCTAGATTCTTTTCCATACGAAAGAGCTTCCTATGTACAATATGTATTTGCCTAAATCTGACATTTTAATAACGAAGTATAGAAAATATACAATACATTTAAGAAAATATACAATACATTTAAGAAAATATACAATACATTTATACATTTAAGTATCCTTGCACCATTTCTGGACATATTCTTCTAATGCAATTTAATTTGCGTGAATTTATCGCAACAATCAAACATATGGAAGCTTATAAAAGGGCCTATGACTTTGTATGTTTTTCATAAAGAAATCAGTGTGTAAAATGTCTTCGTTGTGTACAAAGTTGAAGGGTAACGCTTTTGTTTTTAAAAAGACTTCAGAGGAGTAGTTAACTAAGAACAACGCCATATACGCTTACATCGGCTATTAAATACCGGTCACATAGCAATTCTAAAGTCAATATAAATATACAAAGATATGGTATTTTGACGCAAATGCTACTTAAATTTTAAAATAGTAATCCGCAATATTAACTACCGATTAAGAGTAATTTTAATTCGATCATTCGTCACTAAAATCTGTAAGTGGACTACTAAATGTCCAGACTATACTACTACTACTACTACTACTATATGTCCAGACTGACTCGGCAACTGATTCTGATGAAAAATATACCTATTACACTCAATTAATTTAGTAACGTAATAACTTTAATTGAAGTAGAAGCATCCAGATTCTACGACTATGCCAAATATAAGTGTTTGTGTGCCTATGTCTAATTAAGTTAGTTAGATAGTTAGAAATTCGCATTAAGTCAGTTCGAAATATTTGTATTTTCAATTTATTAATGCTAAGTGATTTTTAGCAGTGCGCCTGCGAGTGCATTGCCTCCTCCCCCATTGCACTGAAAACGGGACAAACATGCACGCATCAAAATCAGACTTGTAATCCAAGTGCAAGTTCCGAATCCAAAAATCCATCCATCCCTTGCAGAACATCCTTCACCGTGGCTCCCTGCTCCCCCGCCCACGTCCTGCCAGGAAAGCAAGCAAGTAAGCAGGAAAGCAAGAAAGCAAGCTGGCATCTAGCAAGCTCGCAAGTTGGGGGGCGGGAGCAGTTTGAAATTCGCTCGCCTGGTGTCACGTAGAATAGACATACAGACATGCAAGTGACAGACAGATGGAGAGACACTGTGACACGACACATTGACTGACAGCTCCAGGGATGCCAGTTGGCGTGGGCGTGGGCGTGGGCGTGGGCGGTTGCGTTGGCATAGGGGGCGTGGCAGGTCTAAGAGGCTGCCACCGGGGTTGCAAGGATTTTGTGCAAGAAGCGGTGTGTGCAAACAAAACCGAAAGACAAAAGCATTGATGGACATGCACGGGCTGCAGGAGAGCAGAAGGAATTCCATCTTCCATAGCCGGTCAATGGAACAGTTTCCTTAGTCAGCATATCCGTGGGGCATTTAATTTCAAAAGGATTGTTCGACGGCTGCAAGTTAAAGAAGAGCAATGTTCAGGGATCTGAGAACATACTTGCTATCAATTCCTCTTAGGATAGTCAGTCCTTCCTCGCATAGTGATAGTCTTTCTATATTTAGGGGCTTTGAAGGCTTTCTATGTTTGAATATTAAAGTGGACCTTATCAATGCAACTGAAACACCTATAAAAATAACGCGAAAGTGTGAACATTTAAAGAGATTCTATTTCATTTAAGCTGAAAATCCATATAACCGTCTGACGACTTGTCTGGCAACTTGTCAACAATGAAAAATATAATTTCCGAAACGTTGTATTCGATTTTTTCCAAAACACCCATCCCCGGATCCTCTGGCCCCAGGCAATAGAAAAAAATTACGGCTTTTATTGAGAGGTCAAGTGACGAAACTTTAGACGATGGTAAAGCAGGGGACCACAGAAAGGAAAGGGCGCAGGGAAATGCCGTAAGGACGCTTTATGCAAAAAGTATTTTTAATTTCATTTTTTTCACGTTTAATATTTGCTTTCGCATTTTTTGACCGAGCTGAAAATCATAAACCGGAGCAGGGCAAGGACGCGAATGCGGATGCGGATGCGGATGCGGATGAGAACGGGCAGTGAAAAATAAATAAGAGTAATTAAATTTCGTAACAAACATGACGAGATAATGGACCGGAGCCATTAGCAGAACGTCGAGACAGGGCTGACGGTCAGTCAGGACCCCGAAAGATGACGAAAGCAAAGTCCTTTCCTCCCCAAGGACGGAGCCAACGGTGTGATGGAGCAGCTGGCGCCTGCAGTCGGAGCACCACCCACCCCCGTCCACGTCGTCATATATCACGGATCCGAGCAGCAGAAGCTCCTGGTAATGTCCCGTGCATTTTTCAAACAAACGTACGTCACGACAAAACTCTTTTCCTCCTCACGGACCCATTCCCATTCCCACTGGCACATATCTCTTGATTTTTCCTCAGCTCGGTGGCCTTGTCGTCCGAAAGTTGAAAACAGTATCGTATCATCTTTGACGGCCATTCGCCATTTGCCAGGCTCCAGAAACGGAACGTGAGAGTGACAAGAAGCGTCTGCCGGCTCCAAGAAGCCGTGATGAGTGTCCGGACATCAATAAAAGATATCCCTTGCCATTAATAGTCCAAAATGGCGAAACATTTTAGTGGTTGGGTTCGTGCGATTCTCACAATCAGTTCGGTATTTGAAAGTGTTTGTACATATTTGTAGCTATATTTATGTGTTGAATCCTCTGCGAAGAGTATGCGACTCTGACATTCCCCTCTACCAACTTATTTCAAAATTCATTGCGAGTTACGTAATAATATTATAATAGCATTACATGATGTTAAACGTTATTTTATATTATAATATATTAAATATTATAGCACATAATTGATAAGTTTAATGCAGTACAAAAAGACCATCGAAATTGCTACTGTACGAGTAAATACCTTATTAAATCCAAAGGAGTAGCGAATACTTCCGTGTCCCCAACTTCGCTTATAAGTCCGATGTGTTTGAAGAGTCCAATCTGCAAATTCCTCTCTAGTCGTTCATTATTCCCCCTAACGGAGCATCAATCGAAATGGTGAGCAACTTTTTGCCATCAACATTGTTTGAAAAAGGAATATAACTATAAAGGCCATCAGCTGTGCTGAGTTGTCCAGGAAAAAATGGGCTGAAATACGGACAAGTTTCCAATGCAAGATGACAGCTCATTCGTCAAATCATACAAAGAAAAATGTGAACTCTTCATCAGCTTTTTGGGTCGAGGCAGCATCCTTTGTCTATTCTGTGCCAGCGCCCTTTGGCCGTTGGGCAAGTTGATGTTGACGTTTCAATATTGATGCAATGTGCTCCACGACCAAGTTTGTCCCCC